AAAGAAAGAACAATGAAGGAAGAACAAAACAACTACTTGTAGTGCCTCCAGGTTATCGAAAAGAACTTCTACAAGCATACCATGATACACCAGCAGGCGGAGCTCATCAAGGTTTTGACAGGACTCTTGACACAATCAGATTGCATTACTACTGGCCAGGAATGTACAAAGACATCCAAAATTACATTCAGTCATGTGACACCTGTCAAAGGTCTAAAAGACATTACCATGCTCGCCCAGCACCTATGCAGCCTCTACCTGTCTCAGATGTCATGGAGAGATGGCACATAGACATACTTGGACCCTTGACGAAAACAAAAGAAGGTTACCAGTATATCTTGCTAGTAGTTGAATCATTTTCAAAATACCCAGAAGCATTTCCTTTGTATACTCAAAATGCCAAAGAAGTTGCAGAAGTTCTGTATACTCATATCTTCACTCGATATGGTGCACCACGCTCCCTTGTTTCAGATAGAGGTCAAAATTTCAGATCAAAGCTGGTACAAGCTATTTCTGAACTTTTCCAAGTCAAGCAGGTTTTCACTAGTAGTTACCATCCTCAAACAAATGCTGTCTGTGAAAGAACAAATGGTTTCATTGGACAAACTCTTAGAGCATATGCAGACAAGAAACAAACCAACTGGCCAAAAGTTCTCCCGTCCATCCTAATGGCTTATCGCAAAACACCTGGAGCAGCCACAGGCTTCTCCCCATATTTCTTGCTCTATGGACGTGAAATGAGGACACCATTTGATTTGAAAATGGCACCTAGAGATAAACTGCCAAGTTCCATTAAAGAGTATGTGGCAGAACATTTAGAAACACTAGAATGGGGCAGAGAAGTAGCAGAAAAGAACAAACTGCAAGCCAGTGAAGCCAACAGAAAACGGCATGATAAAAGAGCTGAAGAACCAAAATTTGGAGTAGGAGACTTAGTGCTGTTACACAACACGGCAGTTCCAGTAGGACTGAAAAAGAAGCTGCACAAAGAGTATACAGGACCTTACAGGATTCTCAGAAAAACAGGACCTACAAACTTCCTTCTCCGAAGATGTGATAACAACAAACAAAAAGGTCCTGTGCATGCTAACAGACTAAAACCATACCATGAACCTGAGGAAAGACAAACAATAAGAAACCAAGAAAACCAACCAAATGTTACAAATCAACCACAAGAACAGAACAGAAATGTGAAACAAATAGAAAAAATTCTTGAGTGCAGTCACTACAAAACGGGCCATATCTATAGAGTAAAATTTAAGGATATAAGTAGGACAGAATGGGTACATGAAGAAATGGTACCAGGACAAATGAAAAGAGAGTTTCACAATACCAAAACTTTCAAGGGCAAAGTAAGGAAACGACCAGCAGTTGTCAGGTTAAAGAAGTAGAAGCTACATCTGTACACACAAGTAAATAGGGCAGGTACAGAGAAGGAGAAATTACTATGGTTATTGGCAGATAGAAGAATTACAAAGACTAGATAGAATCTTAAAGTTACAAAGTGCATGTTGTACAAACCCCAAGACTGTAACCTAACCACGCATTAACAAACTAAGGTACCATCTATACCCTCCTGTCTTTCATTCTTTAGCCAAATACTCACAAAGGTGCAGGCACCAATGTCGATGTAGGCGGCAAAACTCTGTCATTTCACACAACTTTCTTCTGGTACCAAAGGATGTTTTTGCAAGGAAAAGACACAGTCAACCCAGACCCAAGAGCATGCAATTTTTAGGCTGCTGTATATACTAATAGGCATCACCATATTTGCAACATTAACGCCAGTGAAAGCTGAAACAGTACATTGGGTAAAGTATGGGGTTCTTATAGAAGAAAAATAGAATGTAAGGGTTGCTACAGATTATTGGTTACATAATCAGTTACCATGTGTATTAGTTCAACCTCATTACAATCTGTCACAATGTCAAACGCATAGATGTAGATAAATGTTTAGAAGAATAAAAAGGAAATTTATAGAAACAATAAGAACATTGCACAACAACTGGAAAGAATCAAAAGGATCTTGCCAAATAAAAAGCATAAAAGATCAGTTCTTCCATTTATGATTAGAAAGTTCCAAAAATAGTCTTGCCCACAGTTCTTTTAGAATGGAACACATTCACATTACAGATGAGAAAACCAATGAAGTTTACCCATGGCCCTCACATATCAGTGTCAATTAGTCTCATGTTGCCTGGTTCCTTTGAAAAGTTACTTAAACACTCTTTCATAAACATTTCTTTGTAGAACATCATGGTTTCATAACTCCAATGACAATCACACCTCACAACAGTGGCTCAGAGTAAATATCTCCAAAATGGGAGACAAATAAGAATAAGTTAAAAAGTTTATCCAAAACATATCAAAATGCTTGAATTGATTGATATTGTTGCTGTGCATTTACAATAAATTACAAGGGATAGCTGGACAAAGAGGTTCCCACTATACCATTTCAGTATTGGTACATGTATATAATTGTAGAGAAGTTTATTTAGACATATGGAATGGATACATACAAATGTTAAATGCAATGTATACCTAAAGCTTGTAATGTGTAAATATAGATATGTGCTATATAACTGTTTTCCAATTTTTCATGAATGTAATATTACATGTAATTATTGTAATAGTAATGATACATATGTTTTATTTGTTATATGCACCCGTAAATGCTTCAATAATATTGCATAATACTAAATTTATTCAATATCTTTCCTTCAAAATGTGAAGTATTGTAATATACATACTAGTATTATCATTATTCCATACTGCTTTTAAATATAATATCCTTACTGATGCTTATCATTAAATATTGAATTTATGTACAAGATATTGGCCTTAAGCAAACTCCCACTTAGTGACGGTGATTTCATGGTAAATATGAGGACATATTTAAAAGGGCCCCAGGGATGTANCAAACACAGATAAGTATATATGCGTAGGGCCCATTACATGGCTATTTGTAATACCTTGAAATTGTATGTTGTTTTTCATGAGGTAAGTTTTCTGTTGATTGAAATGGTAATCAAAAGAGATAGTTAAGCTTGATTTTTGTTAGTTTCATTTTATTTATTTTATGGCAGTGATTTTAATAATAATGTTAGGTACACTGACATTTTCTTGGAATGGAGGAATTTAGTATTCTTATTAAACAACTGAACAAAAATGTACCTTAAATTAAAGGGATAATAACTCTTCATATGAGATCTATATTTCACAATAAAAACATTGTGAAAAACTCATAGAAATATAATATTTTATTTTACCAAAAGGCAGTTATAGCTATTATTCTGATATCTGAGCTTGTCTTTAGACCACGTGACCTCCATTGATGGCTACACTGTTAAAATCTCTTAAGAGATTTTAACAAAAAACCAAACTTTTTAGAAAAAAACCAGGGACTTACTCTGAATGTAAAAATGGATTCATTAACCATTGGTAAGTATGGGAAAATTGTTGTTTACTCCAGGAAAACCCTTTTTTTTTTTTTTGCTGAAGCGAAGAGTTATTATCCCTTTAATGTCACCAAGGTACCTGTTGGACAAACAAAAGATTAAAAATACAAAGTGTAGTGGGGGCTCTTTAGGGGACCACCTATGAGTTATAAATTTGGTAATGTCAGTTTACCTATTTTAGGTTGACATCAACAGGTCTCCTTAACCAACCAGCCACATACAAGCAATTATTTCAGACAGACAGGTTTATTCAACGGTTCCATTTGAGTGGTTTTATGGTACTATAATGTGGTAGTTTATAAACAGATCTGTATTATTCCTACTTGACATGATTTATGACTTTATATCAAGGTGAGTTGACTGGTCGAATGGGCTGTGTGGATATCATGTCATCTAACCCCCCCCCCCCTCCCATCACTTTAACAAGCAATTTGTAAAAACAAGGATACTCAATGGTACATGTTGCCAAAAGGTAAAAACAAACAAACAAACAAATAAAGAGAAAAAGCCTGACCTAAGCAATAAATCCTACATGATTGGTCAATGTATTGATCTTGGTAATGCTTGAAGGTGTCTAACCATTCAGTCAAATTATTATTTTAATAAGAGTTTTATAAAATAAAAAAAATGGTGGCAACAGTTTCAAAATAGTTTAAAAAAAAAAAACAATCAAACATGCAAACAGTAAGGTCAACTTGACCCAGCCAACAGTCTTGTATTGATCACTTATAAATTGATCTCAATCACAGGAGTCTTTCTGCACGAAAGTAAAACAGAAAGCTCAGCTGACCATTCATTAGATGTTAATTAAAAACAAACATACAAATGTTTACTTTGCCAGAGTCGAGCCACTATTAGTAACACGTACTGTAGACACGTACGTCTCAAAATGTAAAAAAATCGTTCAAAAATATCTACAAGTGAAAATTTTAATTTAACCCCTTTTCAACATTTCCTATACTGATGTCATATTATCTAAATGAACATATTGTATAAATGAATTCAACTGTCAGGATGAAAATTTGCGGTTAACACAAGGACTACCTGACTATGCGGTTGCTAATGCTACTTGTCAAAACTCGGTCAAAATTGCCCGCAAGTTTCGGTCACCGCGACACCGGATTTCAGTTCGAATTCGACTGAAATCTGAAAGGAAATCAGTGATTGTCTGGCAACAAAACAATCGCCAAGGAGTCATCTTTAAGTCTGTACCTGTAATTTTGTGTGGAATAGTTTGGTTTGTCCTCTGCCATCGGCTGAATCTCTTCGACAGCTGGTCTGCCGTCGGTGTCGTCGTCGTCCGCCATGTTTACATCTTATACAGAAGGTCACTTGCCCTCAAGGTCACTACAAACAGGTAATATATTTTTTTCAAAAACCTCAAAATTCAATCTTTCAATCATGTTTCAGGGATACTAATAGTTTTCCTCTGTAAATAATTTACTAATCGTGTAGAAAATATGTTTGTAAAAAAATAATTTCGATTCCGGAAATAAGTGATGACCTAGTTTTCCTACTTCGGGTATTTCCGCAAATCCGAAAGGAACGACAAGCACAAGGGCATCCTGGCAGCCGCTGCAGGTTAACCATAGAAACGAAAAGAAGCAAAGATGGAGGCCCCCGAAAAAGGAGTGCCGTTGTCAACCAAACTCTCCAAGCACGGTCAAAATGGCGTCATACAGCCTTTACTCACCGGTAATTTTAAGCCATGACTCTCTTTCAATTCATTCCAGGGGTTGCAAATTGTAAAAATTGTAGCGAGCCATGTCACATTTCTGTGAATTTCCCATTCAGTTTATTTTCACTTTCTGTTTCGTATCCATTGTATGTGATCCTTACACAGAGGTCATTTCTCAAGTACTGAGGCACGCTATTTATGATAAAAAGAAGCAGTGAAAAAAGACTGACTCACTGTGGGGAAAAAAGATTTAAACCAAATGTGTGTAGTAGTAATACATGCGCATGGTGTGTGTTGGTGGTCATGGTGTGTGTGTGTGTGTGTAGGGGGGGGGGGGGGGGTGAGACTGTGAGGTAAGACTACAAAGTTGCCAATTTTTTCACATTTCACAGGGTAGCCATACATTTCTTAGTGTTTGTCAGCCCACTTTCTCTCATGAATCTTTTACAACACCATCAAATACCAGAGTTCTCTTTTGGGCTCTTTTGGTTTGTTAGACAGCATTCAGATTTTGACATCATACCTGCTGGATTGTTCCAGCTCTGCAAAGGATATTTGGTTAAGTGCATTAAGTGTTATAAGCTTCATTGTCTGGCATGCCTCCCTAGTTAGTTAATTGGTTCAAACATTTCAGCTGATTAGTGATTGAATTTGGGGAGAATCTCCCATAAAGTTGGATTGATCCAGCTAGTATGATGGGTTTATCTGAATGCTCCATTGGGTAAAAGCCTTATTTAACAGTAAAGGAACATATTTTGATAAGATTCTGCAGGATCACCCAGAAATGGTCCAACTTAGAATCAATAAGATTTTGGTGGTGACCCATTGCTTACTAGTAATTGATATAAAAGATAACTGAGCTACCTTTTTTTTAAATGCCTTTCTTTTATGTACTGGTTCAAGCCACACCAGTAAAAGTAAGAGAGCGGTGTATAGTACAGATAGTGATGAATCGTCTTCCAAGTGCATGTGCAACTGATGTCACAAGCTTGCCAGACATGACCTAGCAGTTATTATCTGCGGCTCATGCAGTCAAACAGATCTACACAGATATAATGATCTTCTTCTTTTGACTTTTTACAAATGATCCATTATCCAATGTACAGTAGCTTCTGTTAAGCCTGGGCCTTATGATTGCAGGGATGAGATTTTTCCGATTATCAGCAGATTTCAGATGTTTTGGGAGCCAAAATTTCCACTGGCCTAGGCAGCCCCTTGGACTCCATGCCATATTTTCCAACTTTTTCACTAAATAGCAGTCTCAACTCTGATTGTCTCTTTTGATTCTATGAATCATTAATAGTGGGAGAGCTTTCCACACACAACTGAGAGGAAAGTAAAGAAGGAATTTTTTGCACGTTTTATGAACTTTTAACAAATAATAATAATGTTTAATGAGCACTTAATGTGTACATGGTTTACCATTTACTGGCTCACTAATCTACGAGGATTAGTATAAATTATATGTATACTATAAGGATAATATTAAATAATGATTAACAGAACATGATATATTTGTACCACTTTAATAATTGTTACCTTACTTAATACAATAAAGTAAGTACACAATCATGTGATATTTTATACACTTGTAAGGCTGCTTTGTGAACACCTTTAAAGTTTTTTTTTGTGTGTGTTCTTATCCTTACAGATTTATACCAAATCACAATGGCATACGCCTACTGGAAAAGCCAGAAATATGAAGACACGGCGGTGTTCGACCTTTTCTTCAGAAGAAATCCTTTCCGAGGAGAATTCACAATATTTGCTGGGTTAGAGGAGTGTATCAAGTTTCTGGAACATTTCCATTATACAACAGATGGTAAGAAGAATATGTGAGTTATTAAAAAAAAGTGATGGTATATGTTAAGAAGTCGAAGGGAGGAAAGCAGTTTGCATGTTAAAAATATTTTATTTTATTGTATTATTATTTTGTTGGTTTTTGTTTTTATGTAAGCAAACACATGGTTGAAAGTTTTCCAAATTATTTTCATCTCGTCTAAATTGTTTGAGAAATTGCAAGCTATGTTTTCAGGATTTTCAATTTTTACAGCTTTCACCCATGTAAATACAGAATGTTATAAGTGTTTCATTTTTTTAGCACTCTCTGAAATCATACTGCCAGCATTTCATTGTATGGGCTTACAGCAGAATTGTTGTTTTACACTACCGTTATGCACAATCTAATAAGTTTTTTTTAAAAATTATTATGATAATTCTGCTTTTATGACATCTGGCATTTACACAGATACCTGCATTTGGCTCTATGGGCTTAATGTAGCATATTTGCCAAACCAAAATTTTGATTAAAATCTGCAAAAAAAGAAAAGACAAAAGTTAGCTGGATAAATGAATAAGTAAACACTAAATAACAAAACAACATTACACTTAGACAAATTAGACTGTGTGTATGCATTGTTAGGGATCATAATTATGCCAGTCATACATGCACAAAATTATTTAACAATACCATCATAATGGAATATGTTTTCTAACTCTTTTTTTTTCCCCAACATTCTCTTTGTTCCTCTTTATTTTTGAACATATTTTTTGGCTTACTGGGTGAACTATTAGAAATGCCTTTTAGTCAAATGCATGAATAAATGTGGCCAAACCCAAACTTTGAACAAAATCGATAAAAATTGGTAAAAGGTACAATACCATCATTATTGCAAGTGCTTTCTCTCTTTTTATTTCATTAATCGTTATCTTCATTTAATGCATTTGCCTATATTTTGGGCATGCTGGGTTTACTTTTGGATTTCGGACTAATATCTTTTGGCAACATATCTTGATAAATTTGGCCAAACCAAAATTTTAGACAAAATCAACAAACAGTTTAAAATTTAACAAAAAAATAAAATAATAATAATAATAATAATAATAATAATAATAAATAAGTAATTCAAAATCAAAATTTGAACTTTCACGTAAACTAATTTAAAAATTAAAACGTCAGTGTTTATAATGTGCTTAACATTTACTGCACTTCTCTAAGACTAGGTTGGAGAGATTGAAAGATTAAGCATACATGATTATGAGGGTTGTCCAATGCCAAGCTTTTGTGTTCTGTTCATCTTCCTCCAGCAAGGTTGAGGTAAAGGATACAGCCGGCATTGATAGTGCATGGTGTTTAAATTATTAAGCTCTTAAGAAGACCATAAATTTTCTAGTGTATGAAGAGACTCTTGGCTGCCATGCTAACATCAGGTGAATCATATTATTTATTAAAATAGAATACTAGTATTAAAACTGATGCTCAACACACCCAAATTGTAAAAATTCTTTCCCATTAGCATCAGGCCACTAGCAATAGCATTTTCTTATAATGATTTTAAAGCAAATCCTATTAAAAAGTGCAAAAAGAGTGTCATTATTCAGAGATGAGAATTTTCCTACTATTGGCATGTTCAAACTTTTTGGGAGCCAAAGGTGTTATTAGTTTAGGCAGCCCTCTGGACTGAGTCCATATTTGCCGACTAGATCACTAAAGCCCCCCTTTACTCTGGACGGCGTCCTTTATGCATCCTGTAGTACAGCCCTGTTTGAGAGTAAAAAAAAAACTAATAATACTTTGCATGCTGACAACTTGCTGATCATTGAGCATTCATTTTGCAACCAGAGCAATGCCTGTGCCTCCTTTTTACGACCACAGCGAGGCCAGTTTCATGGTTGCACAAAGGATGCAGAGAGGACACCGTCAAGTGTAAAGGGGGTTTAAATGGCAGTCGCATCCTTGATCAAATCAGCTCTGAAAAAAATAAACCCAATTTTATCCTTTTCCAAATTTCTTTGATGCTCCACTATGATGGAAACCTGAACAAGGGCAAGAGATGTTTCCATAATATTCCACCTTCTAACAGGCTAAAATACGTGACATTAGGTTAATGATTTAACCTTTGAAATGTACACGTTTCACCATAAGATATTGCTACTAGTCAAGCTTAAGTGCATATTTTAAGATGGAGTATTGTCAAAAGCAGAAGGGGATAACATACATAAATTATTTTAGTACACTTGAACATTATTAATGTAAATGGAATTTATTCATCCAAATTATAGAAATGCTTAATTATTGCATGATTATTATAATTATGTATGGTAGATGTGTCACATATTAAAGGATACTTCATTACAATTTACTCTATATTTATATTGATTTTTTCCGTCATGAAATATATCATAAGTATTTGAATTCCCTGCTGCAGAATAAATGTGTATTTGGCATTTCTCGTTGAGGAAGCGTACGTCTAGAAAGACACAGTATGGAGAATTGATTTTCTTGGTGTTAGCTAATGCATTTCTGTTATTGGAATAAGAGTTGTTGTTGTGCCGTTGAAGTAAGACCGTGTGTGATAAAATCAATTGATCCCAGAACCTGGGGTGTTAATGTTGTGATAGCAGGGCAATAGTTCAATAATATTTTGAATTGATTTTTATCGGTATCCTATCATCGTTTGAGAATGTCCCAATACCATGTTTTCTGTGTCTACATCATGCTCTGCAAAGCTACTAATCTTACACCCCATTTCCATAGATTTTTAGATCGATCTATCCCTGTTGGGAGTCTCACTAGATTACTGTCAGCTTGGCCGGCTTAAGCGTCTGTCCCGCCTACTAAAAGCTGTAAGAGGGTAATTAACTATGGTGCCCGCTCGGCTGACTGCAATTTAGCGTGAACCCCCAGGGAGTTAGGTCTATCTAAATCTCTGGGAAAGCACCCTTACTCAGTTCAGACCGTAAAAAGGTGAAACCCCTCAGATATGAATAATTACTGTTGATATTTCCTAGAGTTTAATTTTTATTTTTAATTAAATTTTAATATTTTAATTCAATATTCCTTACTATTTCATCAAGACATCGAGTACCTGAGGACGATTCTACCTCCCACCACAGAAGAAGAATTCTTTGAATTCCTGCATAACCTTACAGCGAAGGACGTCATAGTCTACGCCGTGGACGAGGGGTCGGTGGTGTTTCCCAGAGTTCCCATTATACGCCTGGAGGGTCCTCTTCCTGTTGTACAGCTCCTGGAGACCACATTGCTCAACTTAGTCAATTATGCTAGGTTTGTCGACTGGAATACTAAATATCTTAGTGGTATTTATAAATGAAAAACATTCAAGTTAATGTACATTTAAGAAATAGATAAAATTTGTTTGTTCTGTTTTCTTTTAGTTGTGTTTATATACCTCTGTTTCTGAGATGAATAAGCATATTAAATTGAATGCACATTGAGCAAATAGCTGAACAACTGTGTAAGATCAAATCCAAGAAATTGCAGTTTGATCAGTCTGAATTTTTCATTAATCTCCTGATCCGTTTTCTTAGTTTACTAATGATAATGCTACAAATGGCATTTATAATTATGACCATAGTGGCTTTGTTTTTATTTCCATAGTCTGTTGGTAGTATTTGTTCTTTTGTCACAAACTAATTTTTTTATGACTCTCACAGATATATTTTGACATCTGCATCAGTACATGAAGGTGTCTGTGCGCATCATAAAGAATTTATATTTACTTAATTAGTGTGTGACAAGGGAACAAATACTGTCAATTAGAATTACCAAATTAATCAACTAACGAACTTGTATTTCTACAGTCTAGTTGCCACAAATGCTGCCAGGTTTCGCCTAGCCGCAGGCCAAGACAAGCAGCTGTTAGAGTTTGGCTTACGCAGAGCACAAGGTCCTGATGGAGGGCTGTCTGCTTCTCGGTACTGTTACATTGGAGGTAGGTTTTAATCTTTATTTTTTTATTTATTTTATTATTATTTTTTTTTTTATTATTTTTTTTTTTTACACTGGCAAAAAGATGCAAAAGTTCTATACAATTCTCTTCCTGTTAATATGAAAATAAATGACAAAATGTGTTACACATTTTTCCCCATTTATACGTTTAAAAATAGTCAAATGTTATGTTCTGTTTCAACCCCATTTACACGGACAAAAAAAAAAGAGACTTGGCCAAACATTAGATTTAATCGTGGCATTACAATGCAGAGTTTGCCATTTGATCGCTTAAAATGTTAAATATCATAAGCTTGATGTGATACTCACGTCCGGAGCAACTTTGACTCACTAGTACCTAGACTTAATTGATGAAACCGTGCAACCAGATTGCTGAGAAAACATGGGATTGGGATTTTTATTATTGATATGTTATTGTGGGTCCCCAGTGTGATCTGGTCACCTGGTGACATCATTTGGGTTGTTTAGACTCTGACTCATTTAGACCTGATTTAAACACGACTTTCCCCTCGTAGTCCAGAGACAGTGTACTGACTGACGTATAGAAATTCCCCACTGTACTAACCTGCAACCACTGCACTGTTATATAAGAAACCCTACTTCAACACACAGTGTTTTATTTACCTAACACAAGACACACCTAACACACAGTTATATATATATATTAGTTATATAACTGTGTGTTATATAACACACAGTTATATAACTAATACACTGTCATACAACACCTCACACATAACATACTGTTATGTCACTAAGGGCGCATTCCCATAGATTTTAGATCGATCTATGCCCGTGGGGAGTCTCACTAGATTACTGTCAGATAATCCGGCTTAAATGTCCGTCCCGCCTACTACAAGCTGTAAGGGGGTAATTAACTTTCGTGCCTGCTCGGCTGACAGTTATTTAGCGTGAACCCCCAGGGAGTTAGGTCGATCTAGTTGGATCGATCTAATCTCTGGGAATGGGGTCTAAGACACAATTCACACCTTAAACACTGTCATTCCGAATGCTCTGGCACACCTAACACACTGCCATAACAAACACACTGTCACATCTAACACACTGCCATAACAAACACACTGTCACATCTAACACACTGCCATAACAAACACACTGTCACACCTAACACACTGCCAATCAAGCATATGCCTACTACGTAATCTTTGAAACTGTGCAATCAGTTGATGGACCATTTTGTCTTTGTAGGATTTGATGGCACAACAAATGTACTGGCTTGTAAACTCTATGGGATACCTACAGAGGGTAGCAAAATTTTGATGTTGTTTTCCCCATCTCTGTTGTGATTATCGTTGTACAGGGAGGTCCAAATTATTATGGAAAAATAAGTGATCTGTGCTGCCCTTTGCTGCAGTTTTGAAATTCTCTATTTTCTATTAATTATTTAGAAACTTATTACATTTATATTGTGAAACAAACAGTTTTCCTTTTCTTTTTTATATAAACATTAATATTTTTTCCAAATTCAACAATATAAAAGCAGAGAATCAGATATGAAGAGCACTCATAGTTTTCCCTTAAATATTTTTTTAATTGCAATAAATGAAAGGTTAGATTTTGAAGTGTTTGGATCTCCCTGTATTTTGGATGAAAACTGTGTAGAAATCGTACTGAAATCATTGCTGCTGCGGCAAGCTGCTTTTCTTCTCTTTCTGCTCCATTGGTCAGGTGTTTTAGTTGAGGTGGATCCAGATAATGTTTCATGTTTTACGTTTTAAAAAATGTTTAACATTTGTATTTTTCAGGGTTCTCCCCAGGCCTTTATAGCGTATCGGCCCCGATACGCTATTTTTTTTGCCGATACGCTTCTTTTTTTGCCGATACGCTTCTTTGAACTCCGATACCCTTTAAGAGTGTGTGTGTGTGACCAATGCCTTTAATGCCTTTATTCCTGACAGTCGCGACGTAAACCGTAAAATAAAAACGACTGTGTACGTACTAGGATCTCTTGTGTGCGCGTTAAGTTGTTTATTTTTATTCTGCCTGGCGCAGTAATACAAGTATAACATCTTATGTTGAGGGCGCGGGACCTGCGTACTGACAAGTTTCGAATATCAACATCCGCTTATTAGTTTCGTCATCAATGTAATTCTGTGAGATTTGTTTGCTTTATCTATATTTTTGGAGAAATATAATAAATAGTCAATCCTTCATGTTATTTTGACTGAAGAATAGTAGCAGTCGTGATCATTTATAAATAAATGTATCCATGCGGCAAGAGAAAATGTCAGAAAAGATGCAACGCTATTTAATACATTAGCGCCTGTCCGGGACAGGTAAAAATTCAGCTCGGACAGGTGAAGTTGCAGGGTTGGCTTTCCGACAGACAGGTCATGGTTTATGAGAAATTTGGAGCAAAAATCTTTTAAAAAATCATTTTTAATGCATACTAACGTCTTTTTGTCTCTTCCTACACGGTACTGAAAAGAATGACCTACTTTTGGCACAAAACACGTGCAGTCACAAAACGAAGTCTGAGCAAACTTACCGCCAAGTTATGAAAGTGAACACCCTCCAGAACTTCATCAGACAAAATTTATTCACATAACAGGCTCACTACTGAATATTTATTTGGTTAAAAATCTACGTGCTCTAGAGAGAAAGACCGTTACAGAAACAACACAAGTACTATGCTGGTTACAAAGCCAGATTGGACTAGATGAACTGGCTATATCTAGTTCGTTGTCCAGGCAACATACTGCCTGTCAATCAAATACGTTGTATGCTATCTACTCACTACAGAACGTGAAATCTTTGGGACTGAAGATCTTGTTGAAATATTGTTTATTTGCCAAAATATAACCTGAAATTTTGTATGATGTTTTCTTTAATGACTTTATCATCACCTATATTATTTACAGTTAAAAATTTAGTGCTGGAATATGATAAATTAACATTGCTGTCATATACCAGTGTGGTATTGATGTAAGGAAGAAATTAGTAATAACAAATATGAGAATTTAAATAAAAAGGGGAACTTTTTTATACTGATTTTATTTAACTCATATATTTAAGAAAATCAAACACAAGATAACCCCTAAAAAGTTAAATTGTTAACATAAATATAAGTAAAGTATTATAAGATGAATATTCTTTAATTTTTCATTGAACTTTTGAATATTTTAATAAAATTAATCTAACAGTACCCCCTCCCCACCTGCCACTCAGGGTATTTATATTTTGCTTTGGTTAAACTTCATGTGAATTTGTTATCAAATTGCAGATTTACAATTAGCAGACCCTGTACCCAAAATCCTAGGAGAAGCCCTGATTGAAACTTTATAATGTTAAATCAGACTTATATGCAAGATTAAATCTTCAGGAGTTCACAAGTATGAAAAAACAACTTTTTATCTGAAAATAAATCCACTTTAAGGTGCATTTTCCGGCTCATTTAATTTAATGTCTTGGCAATAATTGCATTAAATGTATGACTACACATATTTATTTACAAAGTTCAATGGTATGAATAGAAAAAATATTAGTTTTGTTGGACAGGTTGGATTGAAATTCGGACAGGTACTCATAAAAGTTAGTGTCTAGCCCTGATTTTCCCGCAAAATTTGGTCCTGCAAGTGGGCTATGTCGTAACGATTTAATGACAGCTTCAGATTGCATGGGATTGCACCCTTTTTGCATGAAATAATGAAAGTTTTTCCTCCGGAGGGCACATCCCTGGACTCCCCCCGCCCCCTTTGTGCCTCGCTTCGCGAGCTTCGGTACTCTCGCGTAAAAAAAAAATAAGGGCTATTTTCAAATCCTGGGGAGAACCCTGTTTATTATTATTATTTTGCAAAATACCCATTTTTGAAATATGGACCACAGTTACTTTTCACTTTATTTCAGTGGGAAAAAAATCTATAAGCAATGAACTTTTTCTATGTTTATTATTATTATTATTCTAAATTGTACACACGTAAAAGAACAGTAATTACTACTGTAATGTTTATTATCTGTGCCTGAATCCCTTCCAACTTCTTTCAAAACATGTCTGGATCTGCTTCATGTATTTTTAATGAATATGTCTTAATATTATGTGCCTGATTTTTTTTGACAGCAAGATTATGTTTATCACGTGATTTCATTGTGTGGAAAAAACAAGGTTTTGTGTTGCAGTGGTCGTAGATTCTGTAAGTCCTTCACTGTCATGCCCTTCATCTTGTTTTGTGATTTTGGTAGCTCAGGCTTCTATATATGTTTTTATTTTAAAGTGAGAAAGATTGTGAGACTTCATAACTGTGTTGTATTTATTTATTTATTTATTTATTATCCTAATATGCTGCCCTCTGTTGGTGTAATAAAAGTTTTGTGCTGCTCTGTTGAATTTGTTCAAAATTAAAGTGAACACTGTAAAACTGATTTAAATTCTTGATAAAAAATTGACAAAAAACAAGAATTTCAAGCTGATTTATTTGCACACAAACAGTGTTTTTTATTTTAAAGATATTATCTGACATATGTGAACTGATACCAAAATGAAATGCACCTGGAATATGGGTTCCATAAAATTTGCTTGGGCTTTCGGGCATAGTTCTTTGATTTTGATAATTTTGGTTACAGGTTACTTTTTAGAACAGTAAATGTATAAATTTTTTATATGCCTTAATTTAGTGTTTGTATTCTTTTTATAGGTGTACTAAAACATAATTAACATTCACACATAGAAATGTAATACCTATGGAAGTGTCTTTGTTCTTTCTTAAATTATCAAACAAACTTAAAATTTAGAATTCCCCCTTATGCATATTCACTCAGTTGATCGATCTTCTCATTTAAGGATTTGATGGCACAAGCAACGTCCTGGCGGGAAAGCTCTTTGACATACCTGTAAAGGGAACACATGCCCATGCATTTGTCACCTCCTACGAGAAGCTGGATGACGTCCATGAGAGAGTAAGTATATCCACCATTTGGGATATCCCACCATCACTCTTAAACACATCAATAGGGGTCAGCACTAAACACAATTCAGTAGGGGTCAACAGTAAACTCGTCAGTAGGGGTCAGCACGGTTGGGCCATCTTGACCATTGTAAATATTTCAGAACCACAATGTGGAACCAATATGATTTTAAAGGGATAAAAACTCTTCGTATGAGATCTATATTTCACAATAAAAACATTGTGAATAACCCATAGAAATATACCGTATTCAGGGGCGGATTTAGGCCGTCTTTAGGCCGTCAGCTTTTCAAGTTTATATTGACGGGTATCTTATTTTTTCTGTTAGAAGACTGTCAAAAATGGAGGATGGATCAACAAAGATAATTTGGAAGGCTGTCAGAAAATATCTCTGGATCTGCCCCTGATATTCTGTTTTGCCACAAAAACGGCAGTTATAGCTATTGTTCTGATATCTGAGATTGTCTTTAGACCACGTGACCTCCATTGATGGCTATACTCTGTTAAAATCTCTTAAGAGATTTTAACAAAAAACCAAACTTTTTAGAAAAAAACCAGGGACTAACTTAAAATGTAAAAATGGATTCATTAACCATTGGTATGTATAGGAAAATTGTTGTTTACTCCAGGAAAATTCATTTTTTGGCCAAATCGAAGAGTTATTATCCCTTTAACAGCAGTACGTCTCTGAATAAATCTAATGTCCGTCTGTAAATCTTAGATAATGGTGAATTCTGGTTGCTTCAAATAGATGTCTTCTTTAGCAGATTTTTCATTATATTGCTTTATTTTGGGAGATATATTTGCCACTATCTGTAAAAAAGAAAAATATTTTACAAAGAGCATGATCACATTTAAGTGCATTCAGTGAAATGCTTTATATCTTAGGAGTATGAAAAATAAAATAGCTGCGCACAATTATCCTTAAGAGTTCGATTTTTAGTATTGATAACAGCAAAGAAAACAACAATTCAGGTTTTCAGCTATAAAGAAAACCAATCATTGCACAACATGTCAAATAAAGTAGTAATCAAAGTTACAATTATGATGCCATTAAGATTTAGTCAAGTTATGACATTAAATGGAATAAGACAATAAAATTAACCATTTGTTTAAAGTAAGTAAATGAAAAAATTGCCTGAGCTTTAATTATTTATTTTATACTCCCAGGTTTAAAACCCTATATATAATCTGAAGCATTAATAATGCTTACTGGTGCATTTAACTCCGTCCCCTGCATAACCATTGATGCAAAAACAGTAAAAGCCACCTTTTCTATCGCACCGCAGATTGAACTGTGGAACATGGAGCCCAGAGCTTCGATGAATACATATAGCATTTTTCCCACACCTCGCTGAAAACAAACAAACAAACAAACAAACAAACAAAAAGTAATATAAGTTAGCACCTGGTCAAGATATGTCCCTTTCTGTTATCATCATTTGTGTTGTTATGACTTAAGTGTGATTGAAATAGAAATAAAGATTTTCATGTACAGATACTGGGGTGGCGCTAGCAATTTTTTTCCTTTAGCCAAAATACTACTTTTTCATCACTTTTATGACCAAATGGTTTAAATTTGACTAAAATAAGTCAAATCAACCCTATTTTGTTTAGCCAATTTCAGTCAGTTTTAGCATTTGGCTAAATTGGCGAGTGTTGGCGCTACCCCAGAGATATTGACATACTGGTGTCTGTACATAAAGCTATCTTCTGTGTTCTTCTCAAGAAGAAAAATCCACCTTATTTATTATTTTCAAACTTACAAGTCTAGAATGATTTTGACACTAAATTACCTACCTGCTGACATTATGTGAGATTACAAAACTATTCAAATAGATAATATTATATCATAATTTCCATCTATTAAATTTATTTCCCCCAACAAATAATGTCAACAAGGTAAGGAATAAAACAAGTTAATCACTTGGTTAGTAAAAAAATATGAATGTGAAAATAGTTTCATTGGATCTTAGTTTTGATAGTCAGAAAGGTTTCATTTATGCTAGATCCTGAAATTTGATTTACCTAAAATATATAATATATAATAGTCAAAAAATAGCTTTATACACCTTTAATTTTCTGGTCATAAATTGACCTATTTATCCATCCCTCCTATTGTTAAAGTCTGCCAAATGATGTAGTAATGAATGATGCCTTACTGCTATAATTATAATAATAATAATAATAGTAATAAAAAAATTGAAGTAATAATATTTTTTTTAATGAAGTTCCAACCAATAATGGGCATCTGGTCAATTTACATGCTTTGTGGTGACGCTGTCATCTCCCTGGGGAAGAGACACCCTGGCTGTCGTATTAGTCGCTAAGAGCTAATACATGAACAGTGTCTCTCACTGTCACACCAGAAAATTAACCCTGTTTCAACCCCTACTTAATCCTCGGTCACAACCGGACGCATGAATTTCAGGATCGTACGTCCCCTGCGATTTTTGGGTGTTGCGTAGGCCGTGGAGGTTGTAGAGGTAGAGGAAAATCTGCCTTGCGAGTCGCAAGTGCCACATGGGAGTTCCTTTCAAGCAGGGGCACTAATTGCAAGGAGCGATGGCCGTGGAAATTGTACTCATTGCTTGAGTTTGTCTTGCGCAAAATTTGGACGCAAACAGCCCGTAAGAGCCCGTACGGCTGGTTGTGACCGAGGCTTTAGCTAAGTGCCGAGTGTCAAGCAGGGAGACAGCAGGTACTATTTATAAAGGACTACTATGTCCTGGGATAGGGTCAAACCCATGTTCTACTGTTCTGAAGACGGACACTTTGACCACAAGGCCATCCAGTCAAGTGATGTGCAGGTTTAAATGCACAGATTTGAATTTATATTAAGGAGAAGATGTTGTCACTTCCAATTCACCCTTATGTATTTTGATGTGACAGCAGTTAGTTATAACAGGCCAAAGTGTTTATTTCCACATTTTGAAGCAAATTAGGCAAAAATGTAACGATTGTTATTACTTCATATTTCTGCATATTAACTTTGAACCATTTCTGTTATCTAAGTCTTTATAACCTTACCTACATTGCAATGTTGTCCAGAATAATGATGGGTGCAAGCGCAATGGAAACCTCTTTCAGGTGACTTTGTGCAAGTCCCACCATTGAGGCAAGGGTTAGGATTGCAGGGGCCTAAAAATAAAATTTGCAAAAACAATTGCATATGAGACATGCTCCTTCAGTTCACATTTGTAGCCAATGCATATGGAATTTAGGTATTTATTATATAAAATAATTGTACCACCAGCATAGGCACTGGCAGTACACATGGGTAACGCTCAACACGTGTCATCTGCCGGTGTACCATGAAAATCTTGACTTCCCAGTCCAAATTCCATGATGGAATTTTGACAATTATCCTTAAGCGTTTTATATTTAGTATAGATAACGGCAAAGAAGACAATTCAGGTTTTACTTTGAACCATTTCTGTTATCCAAGTATTTATAATCTTACCTACAGTGCAGTATTGTCCAAAATAAGGATGGGTGCAAGCGCAATGGAAACCTAGTTCAGGTGACTTTGTGCAAGTCCCTCCATTGAGGCAAGGGTAAGGATTGCAGAGGCCTAAAAATAAAATTTGCAAAAACAATTGCATGGTAGGCATGCTCTTACAGTTCACATTTGTAGCTTATGTATATGGAATTTAAGTATTTGAATTAATTGTACCACCAGCATAGGCACTGGCAGTACACATGGGTAACCCCCAACCAGTGTCATCTGGCGGTGTACCATGAAAATCTGACTCCCCTAAAAGGTATGACTCCCTAGTCCAAATTTCATGATGGAATTTTGACAATTATCCTTAAGCGTTTTATTTTTAGTATTGATAACAGCAAAGAAAACAACAATTCAGGTTTTCAGCTATAAAGAAAACCACTAATCATTGCACAACATGTCAAATAAATTAGTAATCAAAGTTACAACTATGATGCCATTAAGATTTAGTCAAGGTATGACATAAAATTGAATAAGATGATAAATTAACTGTTTATTTAAGATGAGTAAATGAAAAAATTGCTTGAGCTTTAATTATTTATTTTATACTTCCAAATTTCAAACCCTATAAATAATCTGAAGCATTTATAATGCTTACTGGTGCATTTAAATCTGTCCCCTTCATAACCACTCATGCAAAAACAGTAAAAGCCAGCTATTCCATTGCACCGCAGATTGAAGTATGGAACATGGCGCCCAGAACTTCCATCAATACATACGGAATTTTCTTCGCACCTCGCTGAAATCAAACAATCAAACAAACAAACAAAAAATAATATAAGGTAGCACCTGGTCAAGATATGTCCCTTTCTATTATGTGACAGCAGTTAATTATAACAGGCCAGAATGTTTATATCCACATTTGAAGCAAGGGTTAGGATTGCATAGGTCTAAAAATAAAACTTGCAAAAACAATTGCATGGTAGGCATGCTCCTACAGTTCACATTTGTGGCCATTGTCTCTGAAATTGAAGTATTTGAGTTAATTTTACCACCAGCATTGGCAATGGCAGGGCAGTATGCATGGGGTAGGGCCCAACCAGTGTCATCTGGCGATGTACCATGAAAATCTGACTCCCCTAAAAGGTGACGCCTCAGTCAAAATTCCATGATGAAATTTTGACTCCCCCCCCCCCCCCCCCTCCTCCAATGATATTATGGATCCCTCCACAAAACTTCATACATCTTATTTTATTTGACTATGTGACCTGAAACTTGTAGTATGCATAATGGAGGATACGTTGGTACACATACCTGTTAGTTTGCAGGTGAACATTTTCATGAGAAAATAAGAAATTAAAGATGTTGTTAACCAGCATTGTGGACGTGCATATATATATATATATATATATATATATATATATATATATATTCTTTTCTGTCAGTCATGCCCCTCTACTTACCTTGTGAGTCAATGACCAAGACACACTCCATCAGTACCAGAACAAGGAGCCGCCAGAACAACAATCCCATCACTGATTGGTTGATTTTACACAAGTCTTTGTAGCTTATAAAGCTATGAATGAAACAAAATACAAACAAATTTCTTTTTTTTTCCAGCAATATTTTAACTAGGAATGTTTCAGGCAGGCTTGTCAATAAAAGCAACCAAACTTGAATTGATTCAGTAGTTTTCCTGGTAAAGCACCGCGTCATACATTGACAAGTGGAATCATAGTTCTAAGCCTTACGAAAGGGCATTGAACCCCATTCCCAAAAGGGGGCCAAGGGTCAGATTCGTAACCGAGGCCCGTCATTCCTAAAAAAAAAAAAGGAACCCTTCCATATAATCCTGGATTCCCCCCTGCTATAAATCTTTTTCGTAAATTTGAAAATCAAAAGTAACATGGCTTAACTTTAAAGGTCATTATTGCAGCAGTACCCATAATAGCGTTGTCTTCAATTTTGATGCAGTATTGCAAAATGCTTAAACATTTAAATGGCATTTTTAATGTGGCTTTGAACTCCCTAGAACCTAAGACCTTTGCTAGCTAGCTCTCTCTCTATCTGTCTCTCAAAATGGCAGTGTTGAAAAGTTTGAATTTTACAGTACAGCATTTTACAGTACCTGTATCTGTAATTTTGCATGATGAGTAAGTGAGACTGCACTTAGATAATTGAACCAGGATGAGGGCATAACCAATTAAGTGGCACACCCATTTCCCATTTCATCTTGCTCTGTCTAAACTATTTGCGCATACTGGTAGCTGAGGGTAGGGAATACTTCCCCCCCCCCCCCCTTAATCACCAATCACAAAGAATTTAAAGAGGTCAATCACCAATCACGAGGAATTGAAAGCTATCACCATTCATCAAGATAGACAATTGCCAAACTTGCAGGAATGCAAAGAATTTATAACGTTACCAGAATGATTTATTTCATGTGTTGAATGACAGGAATCATCTGCTTAGAGATATTCAGCCATATGAGCATACAATTCTTTGCCTATGTAAATGTGATGATCATTTATTTGCTGAACGATATAGTTAATGTTTCTGTCTATTATATATTAGTACTGTAGGTGTAAAGGTGTATATCACTTAAAAGTCAAGACATCTGAGGTATATACTTGTAGTGGCTTTTATATCAAAATGCTTACATTAACTACTTATGTTTATACCACAGACTTCTCATTTATGAATATATGGTCCAAGTTCAAAAACAAGCAAAATTAATGGTCTGGTGAATTTGATCTAGCCCAGCATACCCAGTTTCGAGTTATACAGATCTCAAAAAAAAAAAAAAAGAAAAAATACAAAATTGATAAATAACTAAATAAACATCACTCTCACTCAGTCTTCTTTTACAAACAGACAGTCATTTGCAATATATATTTATATGTGTACTGTAACATTTACAATATGTGTCAACAACGATATGTTGATAATTTAATAGTAAAAGACTTGATAACACTTAATAAATAATACAAAGCTTTATGATCTAATACAGATAAAAACTAATATGTGTTTTACTATCAAATATCGGCAGGGGAACATACACAGATAGAAGATATCAGTCCAGGAAGAAAGCTGCAGCTTTTTCCATTTTTCATTAAATTTATCTATTGTCATGTTTCTCAGACTTATATTTCTCTCTACGATGTAGGCCTGTCTCCATTCTATTTTAATATTTTCTATATGCGGGGTAATGTTTTTCATTTTAAACTTATATATAATAATTTTTTTTATAATCAGCAAACTGTTAAGCGCATTGCACTTCAAATTTTGAATTCCTAGGATAATATCAGATGCTGTTAATTGTAGTATTTGTCCAGTCTTAAAGTGGATCCAGTCTTGTATTTTTTTCCAAGGGGAGCAATTACTTTGCACTCAATAAATAAAAAACTTACGTGATAAAACTTACCTCGCCTAATCAGGCAGTGAGACCTCCCAGTAGCAAGGCTGTTTCACTCAGTGCTGTTTCAGTGTCGCAGTGTCCCTCTTAATGGAGAAACCATCCAATCACGGCCATGTTCATTTGCATATATTTCTCCTTATTAATCGCAATTTACCTTGCCAGATTTTAGAACTATTTTATGTGCAGATACAGATGTGTCTGTACATATTGCCATCACCTGCGTATGTCGTCACCGTCGCCGTGCACTTTCAGCATTAACACTATAAGAGGAAGACAGTTTTACTTTTTGGCTTTATATTTACAGAGCTGATGAATATTCATAAAACGCAGGTCAAGTTAGAAAATCAGCATGATCGGGCCATTATTGTAGAAGTTATGCTGTTTTTTCACTTTTCAGCATGTATGCAACACTGTAAACACATTTCAAGGAAAACCGATATGCCTGTTGTCATGAAACTCACAGGAGTAATCATTCTTACTAAAACGCAGGTGAAGTCTGAAAAATTGGCATAATCGGGCCATTATTTTAGTAGTTATGCTGTTTTTTTTCACTTTTCAGCATATATGTAACACTGTAAATACAATATAAGAAAAACAGATAGGCCAATTGTCATTAAACTCACAGTAGTGGTCAATCTTACTAAAACGCAAGTTGTGTTGGAAAATCAGCATAATCGCGCCATTATATTAGAAGTTCTGCTGTTTTTTCATATTTCCTGAGATTCAATTCTTAGGCATGTTAACAGTCTCATTATTTAACTAATAAGATACGTAAAAGTGTTTGTTAGTTGATTATGTAAAAATGATGGTAAGTTTATTATCGTGTATTGTGTAATTAAGCTTCAAAAATGGAAATAAACTCATATCATTGCAGTTTGTCAGATTCAATCATTCACTATGTTCAGAATCTCAGAATGGAGGAAATTGGACATTTAACACTGTTTTATTGATATTTTTCCCATCTCATCAATTTTCTTAGTTGATCATATAAAAATAGCAGTAAACTGTTAATTTTGTTTTATGTTAATAAATTGTTAAAAGTGAAAAAATAAAAAATTCAGAACAGTGCTGTCTTATTTACATTTTGGCATTTTCAAGGTGTGACTTATTATTATTTTTAACTTACAAGTATGATTTTTAGGATTGGCATGTAGTTCAAAATAAAAAGCCAGCTCAATTGGGTTATCATTATTAATTATTGAATTTATGCAATTTGTGTGAAATTTTCATTTTTCTCATTCTGGCATTTTCAAAGTGTGAACTTGAACTCCCATGGGCCTGAAGCCTTATGCTTGTTACACATTTTACTTACATTGGTATTACCTGTTGCGCATAATTAAATTTTGATGTTGAATTTGCAGTTAAGCATAATGTACTTTTGTATCAGAATTGACAGTAGCTTATTTTGTGCATTGTTATTTTGTGCTTTTTGTCTGTACATTTGACAGCTTTGCTGCCTTGTTCTGTTCAGCATTAAGCTTTTACTATCCATTTAATAGAGAGCATTTCAGCACACCCGTAGTTTTTATAGTTCTATAATTATCCTGAAATGTACCAGAAAACCTTATTTGAGTTCTTTTTTTCCATATTCATTTATCAGTGTGCATTTTATCTGGTATATTATATGGGTCTGTGCTAATCAACACATCAATAAAATAAAATATAAATTGCAAGTAAACTCACCAGGTTTGGTTTAGCTATTGACAAAGGTGTTAAGAACAATTGGGTGTCAGATATGTTTGCTGACATCTTTTAACCCAATGTCTCTGAGGCACTCTCCTAGCTTCTGTGGCAGATGTTAATGTTTCAAACCTGCAAGAATTTTTTCCATATAATCTGTAAAACATGATCCCAATGATAGTCAGTGAGGTTCATCCTAGATTTATTATCTATTGACAAAAAAAAAAAAAAAAAAACCCTTGAAACTAAAATCTCTAGATTTTGGGAGTCGATCATTGAAGAAAACATTAAACGTGTTCAGAACAGCTAAGGAACAGATCTGCAGATCAAATACGCACTTAATCTCCGATTAGACACTCAATACATTCCCCACGAGAATTACGCAACTAGCAATCAAACGGGTCAGCCATATTGGATCTGCAGATCTGTTAGAGCACCGTCAGAATTAGATGATACGCTGACTAACATATCAGCAAATTAAAAATTGCTAATCCCACTTCCAAAGCCATGCTGCTGACCATCATGAAATTAGCGGCATTGCTTTTGAAGTGGGGTCGGCCATATTTAGTAGGCGGATCAGTTAGTACTCGAATAATCTTGTCTTTAGGGCGCATTCCCATAGATTTTAGATTGATCTATCCCCGTGGGGAGTCTCACTAGATTACTGTCAGATAATCCGGCTTAAATGTCCATCCCGCCTACTACAAGCTGTAAGGGGGTAATTAACTATGGTGCCCGCTCGGCTGACAGCTATTTAGCGTGAACCCCCAGGGAGTTAGGTCGAGCTAGTTGGATTGTAGTTGGAAAACACTAGAAATTATATCAATAATGCTGTCAGAATGTGGACAGAATGTTCAGAATGCTCTTCGAATGCTGTACAAGTGAGGTTAAATTGCTGGCCTAACTAGTATTTTGGCAACAATTGAGATACATTCATGTTGCATGTAACTTTTAAAGGCAGTAAATGCTTTTTAAACAGCTTTTATCCAAGTGCAGTGACACATTTTAATTTGATCTCAAAACTAAATTCTTAATTAATTTATTTACTCTGTATATTGCTCCAAAAGGAAAATGATTTCCGATTTTTATAATTGGCTAAATAAACTCTTATCTTATTCCGGCTCATTTGAGGCACATGCGTAATATTTGACAGGATTTGAAGTGTCTTGCCACCTTAGTGTGCTTTAAATACTTAACTGATTTAACCAGTTTCAGAAAAATTTAAGAGAGAAACAGTAAGTAAATAGAATTAGGTGCTCTAATTGTAGAACAAGTGAAATACAAATAAATGCTTTGTCAGAAGGTAATATATTTGTTATAATTGTATTATGTGCTTGATTTTCTCCTATCCATGAAATATTTTTCAGACTATGACAGCAAAGGATGGCTCAAAAACGGTAGATTTTGTCAGTCTGTGTGAGCAGAAATTGGAGGAGCTATCCAAAGTATTAGGTGAGTACTAATGGTGTGTTACCTTTTATTTTGATTTAAAAGATGTGATGCTAAAAACCTCCCTCTTGTGAGTAAAGGACAATTCTTTTCCTCTCCAACCCCATGCCATGCATTTCATTCAAAATCGGGCCTACCCAACTACCAGACTCGGCACCGAATGATCCTGAATTCACTGGTAGATCAGACCACACTACCCATTTTCAAGGTGTGTGTCAGATCGCATTACACAGTATCATACCCTGAACAAATTTTGAGTGGTGATGCAATGCTTTTCAACCCTGCTGAGAATCGTCACTATGACATCGCATACTAGGCAAGAGCGGTGTCGCATCTAATACTGTGTAATGCGATCTGACAAACACCTTGAAAATGGGTAGTGTGGTCTGATCTACCGGTGAATTCAGGATCATTCGGTGCCGAGTCTGGTAGTTGGGTAGGCCTGAAAATACAGTGGCTGTGTGGCTTTTTTTCACTACAAGTAGTACAGTATTATGTCTCGACAATTTTACCAGTCGTTATATATAAAATGTTACATGGTGTGTGGGTGTGTTTGGGGGGGGGGGGGGGG